AAAAAGTTCAGTGTTTCAGACTATGCACCAAGAAGCTAAACAAATAGAAGGAAACATTTGATTCTAAACTACCTGAAGTTCTCTTGCTGACCAAATATTCAAGTGCCAATTTAGTTGACATGAAGAACAAAGTGAAAGTTAATAATGCAATTAGGTACTTTATCTGCAAAAGCTCTTACTTTGGAAGATCAGACAGTCTAATTTCCACATTCAGCATAAACTTTTGATGCCAGTCCTTTCTGGAATAGAAGAATATATACTCCATCTTCAGTACTCTATTACTTTCTACAATATTTTGTATCATTGCTGATACTGAATATTATGGAATAATATTCAGTAAACAATAATTGATAATGAAATTTCAGAAAAATATGGAGACATTTACTTATCAACATTGCTACCAGTTAATCTTTCTGCTTTGATTCATCAACTACAAGATATTATTTTTACAATGATGAGAATTCCTAAAGTCATTGTGTAAGAACTTACACCTTCAGTATTGCAGACTCACTGTTGCTCCCTTAAAAGTAGTTGTACAAATCTTGCTGCCACTATTTCATGAGTATCTTCATTTTCTGTTAGTAGTAACACAGGTAGATGTTGATATTCCTTTCTTTCTATGCTGCTATATATCAGTCTTTCTTTTCGATGGGTAGTTCTTATAGTGTGAATTCTCTTTGTGTTTCTCCACTTGTTCTGTTATTTGTATCCACATCATGCTTAGTTTGTCCTCCAAGTCATCCTTTAAGCTTGTTGCAAAGAGCTTGAGTTATTTTGCTGAATTCTACTTCATGATTAATTTATTCAGGTGCTGGGATATAGAATGAACAGAATATACCAGAAATCCAGGTTTTTTTCTAATAGGAAGATATATACAATAAGCAAATAAGTAAAATATTTAGTATGTCAAGTAATAAATGCTATAGAGAAAAACAAAGCCAATGAGAAGAGTTTGCAAGGGAAGGAGAGATGAGTTATGCAATGTTAGATAAGGTGGTTAGAGAAAGCATAAGAAATAGGGTGATGTCTGAGCAAACAATGGAAAGAAGTGAAGGAACAGGGCATGCTGCTCTCTGTGGGAAAAAAGTTCTATACTCAGGGAGCAAGTGCAAAAACTCAGAGTATGCCTAGTATGTTCAAGAAACAGCAGAAAATATTTAGCATGAGTAACTCGAATGATGGATTCTCTACCTACCGAGAGAGAAGACTAAAGGAGAGTAGAAGTTAGAAAAGGTACGAACATCATAGTTTCAGGTTTATATGTATTCATTTTGAGATAGCTATTAGATATCCAAATTGAGATATAAAATGTGAAGTTGCTTATATCCCTCTGTAGTTAAGGGAGCCCTCTGGGCTGAATATACATATTTGAGAGACCTTGGTGTTTCAACATTGTGTGTATGTGTGTGTGTGTGTGTGTGTGTGTGTGTGTGTATTTTAAAGCCATGCCATGAGATCAGATAAGTGAATATAATAGGAAAGAGAAATGGTCCAACAGTGAAACTCCAGAAACTGTAATGTGTAAACTGAGGAATTCAAACTGAATTTTTTGTATCCTGGGAGTATAAATAAGACTTTCTAAAGAGTATGCAGGCCTGAATGTATTAGGGAAAATCAATTTCCATATTCTTAGCATTGATATAAGTAATAATGACTAAAATTGATCTGCCTGATACCTGAGACCCTTCAGCTGAGCATCTCATGTGTTCATATTTCCCATGTGTTTTTATTTTCAAAACACTCTACCTTTATGCAATTTACAGACAAATGATATACTTTCCACACATTATGAAGCTTTCTAGGCTGCACTGCCTCAGGTGTTATTGCCTTTGGATGCCAAACAATGAAAATGTTAAAGTATTGGTATCTAATTGGACTCTAATGACTGAGAAAAAGAAATTCTGGCATATCAAGTGGTTTCTAATTCTTGAATTGCCACAAATTTGTGATGGGGAGCTCTAATATTGTTATTACCCTAAAGTTTGTTTATCTGTGCCTGACTTATTTCACTTACCATAATGCTCTCCAGTTCCATCCATATTCTTGCAAATTACAGGATTCTATTATTTTTTAATGACTGAATAGTAGCCATTGTGTATATGTGCCACCTTTTAGTTCATATGTTAATGTATACTTAGGTTAATTCCAAATCTTGGCTTATTGTGAATAGTGCAGCAACAAACATGGGAGTGCAGATATCTCTTTGAAATACTGATTTCTTTTCATTTGGGTATATACCCAGCAGTGGGGTTGCTAGATCATATGGTAGTTATATTTTTACTTTTTTGAAGAACTTCCATACTGTTCTCCATAGTGGTTGCGCTAATTTACATTTCCACCAACAGTCTAAGAGGGTCTCCTTTTCTCCACATCCTCACCAGCATTTGTTATTGCCTGTCTCTTGGATAACAGTCATTATAACTGGGATGAGATGATATCTCATTATAGCCTTGATGTGCATTTCTCCGATAATCAGTCACGTTGAGCCCCCTTTCATAGGCCTGTTTGCCATTTGCATGTCTTCTTTTGAGAAATGTCTGTTCAGATCTTTTGCCCATTTTTTAATCGGATTATTAGAATGTTTCCTGTTGGGTTGTTTGAGCTTCTTATACTGTACTTATACTTCTTACACTTTTCTGAAGACTGTAATATGGTGTGGTACTAAAAAATCTGGTTGCCAGGAAATTCTTAACAAAGTTATTGAGCATCTACAGCACTACACACAGGTAGAATATTTCTAAGAAATTCAGAAAAAGCACGTGGTTATCAGTGCATCATAATGTGACCTGATTTGTGATTTCCTTCTGCTGCCATTCCTGAAAAAAATTTATTTTGGTTTGACTTTATCAGTATCAGTTTTGTGGCAAATTGTTTAACCTATTTTACAGCAATTAATACATATTTACATATTTTGGAATTATACTTTTCCAATAAGTAAGGCTTAAGAATTGCATGCATTGAAATTTATGTATAAATCACTCATTTTTATCACTAAAGTAGATGTACTCTTCACCTCCCAGAAATCCCCTGTAATTAACTTTTTCTTGGGGATATGCAAACTCTTAACGAAAACTACTCCAAAAAATTACAACTTATCATCAAAACAAGTTGTAAGTTAAAAACTGGTAATTTTGAAATTTGTAGAGTATTTTTAAAATACAGAAATTATGTACACAACTTGAAGTATTTTCTTAGCAAGTAAATAATAAGCTATGTATGTGTATTGCTAGCCACAAGTTTTCTGCAAAAATAATTCCTTTTCAGGTCTTTATTTTGGTGAAAGTTGGAAAAGAGTGGAGATTTTTGGATCTCTGTGGTCTTGGTCCTTACAGGAGAAAGAATAGCCTCCCAATAATGTTTAAATCCAAATAGTTAAAATCTGTGAATGTGTTACCTGATGTGTTAAAATGGAAATGTGATTAGTTTTGCAAATGTGATTAGTTAAGAATCTTGATACAAGTATGTTATCCTGGACTACCATGTGTGTTCAATGTAACCACAAAGACCTTTATAAGGGAAAGAAGGAGGGAGGAAGCAGGATAGTTACTGAGTCCAAGAAGAAGAAAAGTCGGAGAAAGAGAGATTTGAAGATACTACCCTACTGGCTTTGAAGATGGAGGACAGAACCACAAGGCAATAAATGCAGATGACCTCTAGAAGCTGGAAACGTCAAGGAAATGAATTCTCCTACAGACTCTGGAGAGAATGCGGTCCTATCAACCACTTGGTTTCAGGGCTTCTGACCTCCACAACTGAAGGATGATAAATTGTGTTGTTTTACGTCACCAAGTTTGTGATAATACGTTACAGCAACACAGGAAATGAATAAAATTATATTTTAGAATACTAGAATCATTCTTAAAAATTGAAGCTACTGATTTAGCGAACAATCATGACAGCGTTATTTAAAAGTAGCAACTCTTTGGATTCTACTATGGAAACAAAACCGTTTGAAGATCATGATGAACCTGTCTCCAAGGCTAAACAATGATGTGCTTTGTCTGGGAACCTCTGGGAAAGAATATCATATCTAATTGTATTCTTTTATACTTCAAATATAATAAACTCATAAGTAGAGAAATAAGCAATTGTGAGTTAATAAATTATTAACTCACATTGAATTATGCCTGGCTACTCATAACCACCTTCGTATGCCTACTGCTGCCCTTAGTACACCTGAACTGAAAACAGCAGCACTAAGAGCTCATGTTCATATCTGTTCCTGCATATATTTTTCTGATTGCCTAAACTCTAAAGCCAAAGACAAATAATTATTAATTGAATTTCATTATCCATGCTTTTTGGTTCCTTCTAAAAGAGGATAACACAAATTTATGACATTTCCTTTGTAGTTTGTAAACAGAAAATGCAAGTAGAATACTGTTAAGTAGGTTATTCTGGAAGAACGCGATAAAATGCTACTCTCTGCCAAAAGTGCTAAGGGGTGTTCCTACGATAAGAGGACATTTGTGGAGTAAACGTCATCAGATGTAGGTATGAATTATTTCTGGGACAGTCCTACCTACATTCTCTGGCAGTGTTTTAATCTATGTGAACTTGTAGATAGCTTTGATAAATCCTTAACTTTCATTCCTTAAGTAAGGGGCAGAATGTTTAATACTTTGGTTTGAATGTTTAATACTTTAGAGATTGAGAAAATATTAAACATTGCAAATAGCTGAACTATCAGGCCACTCATCATGTAGTAATGGAAATAGCACTCGATTACCTGCTCCAAATGCTTCGACAACTATATTTTTAAAAATATTTTTAAAGTCTCTTCTAGCTGCTTTTCCCAAGCTGAATATTTTAAAGGCACATTAGAATAACATGTTTTACTTAAGAAGATGAATCTAAATGGACTTTTAGTGCAGAATGCTCTAAAAGTAGCATTACTTTTATTCCCAGATTACTTTTTCACAGCACAGTAACAAGACTTCTTGAGAAACGTGTTCTATGAAATTATTGCTCAATAAAATAGTTCTAGATAACTGACTTACCAGACTTGGGCTGCTGTCTTGGTCACACAGCGAGTATGATTTGAACATAAGCCTGTCTCATAAACAAGAGCTGGAGCTGCATCTACCAGTCAGACTTTTAGCTTTAATCTTTCATTTATCCCACTGTAGTATTGTTTCTGCAAAAGAAATAAATGGCTATCCAAGTTATGTACAAGTAACAAAAGCTATAACAGTCATATATTACCATAATAATAAACGTCATGAAATCATCCTGAAACTAGTGGCTTAAAACAGTAATCGTTGATCCTTGCTCATACATCTGCAAGTCAGCTGAGAACTGGCTGATCTATGCTGGGCTGGGCTTGGCTTGGCTCAAAGCTAAAAGTTAGGTCCATCTGCTTCATGTGTCTTTCAACCTCTGTAGACCAGAAGCATGGCCAAGATATATTATTTGCATGGAAATTGCAGAAGCACAGGAGGGCAAGCCCCGTCATACAGTACATTTTGAGTTTTTGCTTGTATTATATTTTATAACATTGCTGACATTCCATGGGTAAAGCAAGCCATACATCCAAACCCAAAATCAATGAAATATCAATGGAGTGACTGTGCCCACAGTGGGAAGAAAAGGTGGGTGATACATATCGACTAAACAATAATTTAAACCATTACTGTAAAGACTCTAACAAAAGCTATATATACATATATAACTCTCTCTCTATGTGTATATATATATGTGTGTGTGTATATATACAGCCATCCCGCAGTATATCTGGGGATTGTTTACAGGACCCCTGCATCTACCAAAATCCACGTACGCTCAAGTTCCACAGTAGCCCCGTAGAACCTGAGTGTAAGAAAAGATGCCCTCTCTATATGAAGGTTTTGCAGCTTGAAAATACTGTATTTTCCCTCCATATTTGTTTTTTAAACATTGGCATATAAATGGACCTGTGCATCTCACACCCACCTGTGCTGGTCTCCGAAGATCTAAGGGAGAGCTAAAGAAACCAACTTGTAAAGGAAACAGAATGGATCCAGGGGTCTATGAATCACAGGCCGACTCTGTAGGTACTGTCCCCTATTGAATGAGCACCAATTGTTTTTAGTCTTTGTATCACTCCAATCTAATTTGAAACTCCAAGAAGAGAAAATTTGTTTGCCATAGGTTGGGTCATGCGCCTACTCCTTGCATTGGCTAATCAGGGCTTCATAATAAAAATACCAGCTCATGTTCATTTTGTCTTTCCTATTTGTCATTCAAAATGAAGACTCAGCTTCATTTTAAGGAGGGTGCCCCTGAAGGTTATAGCACTGACTACCAGCTTTGTTAAGAGTTACACATGTAAGTAGATCTCGGATGTTTATATCCAGTGGGAAAGAGAAAAACTGTCATACCATTATAGGCAGGAGTTTGAAATTAATTGAATCATTGTGAGGCCATGAAATTGGAAAGTAATTATTTATGTGGGGTAAAGACTGTTCCTAGAGTAAATGATGGTCATTTTTTCTAATCCTATACACTGCAGTGGGCAGGAAAATACCCAAATGGATATCTGAGTATTTTTAGGACGGAAGGGAGAATATATGCAAGTCAGCAATAAACTAATGTCAACTATATATATAGAAAAATAGTACCATACTTTGGAATATACTGCACTCTTCACTGTCATTCAAAGATCTTTGTAAATAACGTACTATAAAAATACTACAAAAATACATGCATATATAATTACAGATATTGGTAGAGGAACATAGATGATAGCACTTAGTAAGCTATGCTGAGATTCACGTGGCTGAGTTTCTCATAGCTGAGCAACACTTTCCAATATTTAAAAATTCATATTACTTAAAAATATGTAGCTATACAAATATACATACATAACATGTCAAGTATAATACTAATCCATTATCACTGAACAGAAGTATGATACTAATCCATTATCACTGAATGCTAAGTATGATACTAATCCATTATCACTGATGGGCACTGAATGCTAGAATTGCTTTTACTTTTGCTTTAAATGATATGGTTGGAAACTTTTGATTTTAAAATACATAATAAAAGAAGTATAGCAAAATAATATATCTTCCTGTGTGTTAAATAGATCATTTTGAATATTTTAGAAAACAATAACTTTTTGAAAACATGAAAATAATAACAATTTTCAATGTTTTACATTTTTTCTTTATGCTTTTGGATGGTAATTGAATATTTTATGCATTTTAAAGAATAAGTTATATTTTATTATTAATCCTTTAGCATGGAGGAGTTGAAATAGTGATAGAAACAAATGACACAAATGTGCAAATCAGAAAAGAACACAAAGGACACAGAAAATCTTCAAAGGAACAGCCTGATTAAAGTTTTATAGAAGTAGAAACAATGGAAGTGAGAAGACTCTCCTCGGACATGATCTTTGTAAAATGTGCAAACAACATAGTACGTATTCGTTACCCTTAATGGAAGATGTACTATTTACTAATCAACGAATAACACAAATAAAACAAGAAAAAGTTTTTTTCCCACTCAAAGCAACCTTATTAATACATGTCAGATGAATCTTCAGGCAACTCCTGTACCTTACTACGTTTTTTAAAAGCGCGGTTATGATCGCCCAGAAAAACTGGCTGTCCACATCCTTCTGACCAGTACGCCTGCGGCTATTTTGTAAGGAGACGGGTTTCTCCATGTTGGTTCTAGGGCTGGGTCTTCAAACTCCCCGACCCGAGGTGATAGACCCAACCTCAGCATCCCCAAAGTGCTATACAGGAAGTGAGCCCAGCACCCCGCCCCCCAGAGAGTACTTTTAGCAAAACAGCAAATCTGTCTATGTTTTCATTGAATATTATGGGTACGAATATTCTTGTATTTAATTTTAAATTAAAATTATTTAAATGGTGATAAGTAAAATTGTCATTTGGGTTTTAAGTGAACAGCAAAAAGTGTTATTACTACATTTACATGTTTCTCAACTAATCTTCAAGTTCAGTCTTGGTTAATGAATGTATCCATGACTTGAAACACTTAAGTTTTTGGTTAAAGAAGCAAAACATATCTCTTTCCAATGAAAGTAAATATAATTCACAGATTATTTCCAATAAAATATAAAAATAATTTACCAATAATTGTTAATACTCAAAAAGATTGAACACATATCATTTAATAAATAACATTGGGCCGAGCATGGTGGCTTACGCCTGTAATCCCTGCACTTTGGGAGGCCAAGGCAGGCAGATCATGAGGTCACAAGATCGAGACCATCCTAACACAGCGAAACCGCGTCTCTACTAAAAATACAAAGAAATAGCCGGCATAGTGGCACGTGCCTGTAATCCCAGCTACTCAGGCGGCTGAGGTAGGAGGATCGCTTGAACCTGAGAAGCGAAGGTTGCAGTGAGCCGAGATCACACCACTGCACTCCAGCCTGGGTGACAGAGCAAGACTCCATCTCAAAAAAATAAAATAAAATAAAATAAAAATAAAAATAATGTTCAATTAAAGTAAATAAATGCCAATATATTAATGCCAATCTAGAAAATAATGTTAAATGTTAACACTAACTGACCATAACAATGCTTTTTATAATACTGAGAGAATAGTATTTACAGAAAGGAATGAGATCATTTCAAAATTTGCTGCCAGAATAACTGAC